GCAAGTAGGCATACCTGGCTCTGCTCAACGGATTGGTCGTACATTCTGACCTTCATTAGAAGATCAGGTTAGACGAATTAGTGGATAAGCATGCGTTCATACTGTCGGGGTCGCCAAAAGGAACCAAAGATGGTCTACCTGCCAGGCTTCGCCCTCCGCCACTCCACTGCCACTAAAGCAAAATCATAAAAGACAAAGCCACAGATTGAGAATATAAGTGTTTCTTTTATTTGAGCTTTATATTCCCTGACAGAATAAAACTCTGGATAAAAGGAAATAAAAAAGTCGACGAGAGCAAAACTCTCATAAAAATATGTGTAGACAATTATGGAATGTAGGGAGCAAGTCTTGAAAGGATTTTTATTACACTTTGAGTAAACATTGCTTTTCATTTTTTAAGTTCCTTGGAATATCGAATTCAGACTAGGTAGAAGGAGCCAGTGAAGCGATTTATTATTCTCCTAATTCTGATAGTCTATAGTGAGAATCAAAGTGCATACAAGTGCATTTGACTTAAGTCAACTTTTTGACAGTTCCGAAATTAAATTCGTATTTTTAGTGATATTTTTTAAAAGTGCGATTGTTTGCAGATAATTGTTTTGTTCTTACATATTTAGTAAAGAACGGCACAAGCCTAATGAAGGTAGATGTTTCCATCGGGAAGTATTGTTATTATGTTGGTACAACGCTGTCACTTTGGTAGGCATCGGCGTACAGATAAGTCAGAAGTATGCACTAAAATTACGAAATTTTGGCGAAAAACAATGCAATAGGCTATACTCCTGACACATTCGAACTCGTTGCCATTATAACCAGTGGAAAGGTTCTTAATAAATTTTCTGATAACATGAATAGCACAGGTATGATATACTCCTCGATTTCGTCATCCAAATTTTAGCTGCATACCACGTAGATGTGACCTATTATATTCAATAATTCAACCAAGCGCATTAGAATTAAGATGGAGTTTTAATTGTCCAATTAAGATTCAGCAGTTTATTACCAAAAGAAATTAATGGCGAAGTATTCGTAATAACTCCCAATTTAGATCAGGACATCTGGAATTTGAGACGAAAAGTTAATTTCTTATCTAATAAGGGATGATCTCGATTATAGGCCTTTTCAGACATTCTCAAGTACATATCTCTGTTGGAAAACAGGTTATTGCATTTTTCCTAGAATAGGCTCAATTTTTAGTTAGTTAGCTTGGTCTAATTGGACAAAACGACAAACCTTGTCTCCGAGCTCTCTTTGAGCAGAACTTAAAAACGCTGTCAATCTTTGGAACTTCTTTTTTGAGCACGTCCAAAAAAGTTTATGAATCAGATTTTTCTACAACTTTATGTTTTTCTTTTCTAGATTTTCATTCCCTACAGAATAGTCTGATCCTCTGCGTGTCTAAAAATCCTCACTGCTGAAAGCGCCAAGTATAAGAGACTTCTTCCAAGACTTAGACGAGATGCTCGGTAGGTTATTTCCTTTGCCTCAATTATATCCAAAGGATGGTCATATGTAGGTAATATAGAGGAAGCTTTGGAGTTAGATGGGCTGGAAAACAGAGACCACTGAGTGAACAAGCAAAAGCGATGTCCGTTATACATAATTTAGCCTGATGTACGAGTATCATTTGAAACTGTTTAAAATTGTACTTAGATTTCTCATGGATATTTCTTTGGACCTCCATTGTCTGTCGAATTTGCCCTTAATTTGCATATTTTAGAAAGAGGCTCCAATATATACTAAGTGACATATAAATCCGAACACCCAGTTTAAATGGTTTTATTTTAATAAGATTTTGTATAAGTACTTAATGAAGCATAATAAGTAAATGATAAAAATTTCAAAATGATTGCACTGCTTTAAAGCCCTTTGACCTTTAATAATGTGTGGATGCACCCTGATGTGCTACGCATTCTCCAACGCGCCTAGGCATGCTTCTGATCAAGTGGTCAATGTCCTCCTGTGGTATCTCATTCCAGGCAACCACCAACTCCTCTTGAAGTGCTTCTAGAGTCTGAGGAGTACGTTGCAAATTGAGCAATCTCCTACCCATCATATCCCACACGTGCTCAATTGGGGATAAGTCGGGAGATCTTGGTGGCCATGGTAACAATGTGACATCATTATGTTGAAAGAAGTCTATTGTGACTCTTGCAACATGTGGTCGGGCATTATCTTGTTGGAAAGTTGGATCTGCCAGGGTGTCAAGATAGGGTAAAAGATGGGGTTCTAGAACTTCGTGGAACCATAAGCTATAGCACCCCAAACCATAACTCCAACAGTGTGATGAACATGTCTGTCAACAAAAAACTGTGGATTCCTCCTTTCACCACGTTGCCTTCTAACCCTGGCACGACCATCGTGCATGCCTAAACAAAATCGAGACTCGTCACTAAGGACAATACTGTTCCATTCCTGATCCCAGAGTTACCGTTGTCTGCACCACTCAAGGCGATTACGTCGGTGTTCTCGAGTTAAAGGAGGACCCAGTGTGGCCGGTATGAAAACAAGCCAAAACTTCTCATTCATCGGTAAACACTTGGCATGCCAATAGGTCTTCCGTGTTCTGCAAACCATTCATTTGCAATGGACCTGGTAGTGGAGAAACGGTCCCTTAAGGCCAATAATCTTAGGCGGCGATCTTCACGGTCTGTTGTTCTACGGCGGCGTCCAGTGCCCCTTGCTCTTTGCGTACGGCCTTCTCGAAGCCATGCCTGACAACACCTAACCACAGTGTCTACACTTCTTTGCACTATAACTGCAATTGCCCGAAAAGAAAGTCCAGCTTCCCGAAATCCCGCTATACGGCCCCTATCAAACTCACTAAGTTGACGAAATCGTACAGGTCTCCGTACTCTAGGCATCGTAACCGATCGTAAAGGATGTCAAGAACCAAAATCCGCCAACGTTGATTCTTTACTGCGGCTGAAATATTCATTTTTAAAGCGTTAGTGAATTAAAAAAAAATCGTATAAAAACCGGAATGTCCAACTGATAAGGCTGAAAATTTTTTCACTTGTTATTTACAGTAAGATAAATACATTCACCAACTTTTATTAAAATAAAACCATTTAAACTGGGTGTTCGGATTTATATGTCACTTAGTATAGTTTACCAGAGGACTGGAAGTCGGCTCACATTCAACCCGTCTAAAAAAGGATCTGAAATAACTTTGCTTTCTGTGATCAACGAGATGCTGCGAAAATAAATCAACAGAGGACTCATAAAATATCTCTAGCATTGAGGTTGGATTGGCAAGGCTTTCGACGAAATGTGGCATGCTACATTTCTATGTGAACTTGTGTCGTATGGCTTCCCAGAGAAGCTTTGCAGTTGGATGGTTATATAACAGTCCGGATATCTGCGCCGTTTCAGCGTTAAAAATATTTCCAGGTAAGATATTGGTAGAGATATACTGAGTGAAAGAAAAAGGTAAACACCTACACCTATTTACGTATGTTTATTAGTATATAAGAATTCTTCACATATTGATTTATCTTGCAATGAACAACAAGTGATAAAATAGTCAGGTTTTTCTGTTAAGGTTTTGTGGTGGCTGTGTGTATTGTTTGTAAATAAAGAAGCATTCAGTTTACGTACATTTACGGTGTCCATTAAATTTTAAATTTCGTGTAGCTTTTTGAGAAGCCTTTTTGTGATTGCTCAAAATGCCTACAGTGCGACGGGTGTTCCAGCTAAGTGACTTTGAGAGAGGTCTAATTGTCGAAGGAAGCTAAACAGGGCTAAAACTTTTGTTGTCCTTTTGAACAAATTCAAACATTTAACGGTCGATTGCAGTGTCAGAACAATGAGGTTTCACTTACGAATTCGGGGTAAAAACTAGTCACAGCCACCATCGAGAATATTTCCACAGTCTTGTTTGTCTTTGTGCTTCTATAATTAGACGCCAACCTTACATGCGGTTTCCGTTGGACTGAACTATCTCAGAATCTCAAATCACGATCAAATTATTGCCTGTCAATTACTCAGTATAAAGCGACATGGATTATGTCTATTAAATTACGCCTAGTAACAGAATCTGCTGTAAAATCACAAATATATGAATTGTTATTCGCTGTCGCTATCAGCGACGCAATTTTCATATCAATCTCTTCCGATAATCGATAAAAACAGCTCGTTTTTACTTCTCACCCCACTGGCGCGAAAATTTTCGAAAATGTTTTTTGGATGTTATATGACATGTACCGGGTGTGCCATCTTTTATGTAGGTATTTAAACGTGAAATAACTTTGAAAATGAAAAACTGGTTTCTATATATCGGGTATTTTTATTAAATATGGTCCTTTACAATTTATTGGGACTAGTTAATGAACACAACATCTATCAAGTGGCCACCTGTATTGGCCAAAACAAAATGTGTCCGTTTTGCTGCGTTTTCCATTACATTTTCGAGCATCTCTGGTGGTATAGCGGCGATTGCGCTACGAATCTTTGCCTTGAGTTCTTTAGTGGTCTGAGGCTTGCTGGCGTATACTTGACTTTTCAAATAACCCCACTAGAAGAAGTCCGAGGAGTCAAATCTGGAGAGCTGGGTGGCCAATGTCACCTCTTTTTGACATCAGACGTCCAGGGAACTTTCGTTGTAGAAACTGGATTATTTCGTTTGCAGTGTGGCATGGCGCACCGTTTTGTTGAAACCAGTAACCATCGAGACCTTTTTCACGCATTTGTGGGCAGACATAATGATCCAACATCCACCGATATCGATTTAAATCAAATGTTTCGTTTTCGTTGAAGAAAAATGACCCAATGATGGTTTTAGCATAAGCGCCGGCCCAAACAGTCACTTTCCGGTCATGCAACGGCATTTCGTGGATCTCACGTGGATTTTTCGTCCCCCAAATGCGGCAGTTTTGCTTATTAACGCCGCCAGAGAGCGTGAAATGGGCCTCGTCGGGCATCACAATTTGCTTCCAAAAATCAGGTTCAGAATCAACCATGCGAGCGCCTGTTTTTGCGTATTCCAAGCGACGTTGACAGTCAGTTGGCTATATTTATTGTATTAACTGCACCTTATGAAGAAACAAATGCAAATCATCCTTCAAAATGCGCCGCAACGTGGTTCCACTGATGCCAAAATGCTGAGCGCGGTTACGATACGACACTTTTGGGTTCTGGGCAACGCTGTCTGTGACCGCTTCAACCAATTCAGTGGAACGCGTTGGTCGTTGATGAATGGTATGTTGACGATCTCCCACTGTCCCGTACTCAAGAAAATTCGAAATCAAACGACGGGTAGTGTTGTCAGACGGTGCCTGTTTGCCAGGATATGTTCGACGATATGCACGTTGCGCTAACACAACTGAACGACGATTTTTAATGTACACTGTTTGTGGCTATTTCGGCGCGTTATTTCGGTGTAAAGCGATTCATGACTAAAATTGTAGTAAATTGACGTTTCAGGAACATGTTAACCAAATCACTCGGTTGGTAAATGTCAAAGTCATTCGATGTTTCCATCTGTCTGGCCCGTCCATAACATGAGAAGTACCGCTAGAATGTTGACGAATTTCCCACAAGGTGACTACTATTCGAAGGACGAAAAAGTTTTGTACTTTTTGAAAGTCGGTTCAGTAGCGGCAGAGAAAAAATATCCGGCTAACTAATCTATCCGTACTTGCAGCGCAAAAAACATACACGGACCACGCATGAAATGAATGATAACTCGCTGCATAGATGACGCGCGGATGTGAAAATGAACAACGTTGCTTATGAACGTTCTTATGATCGATGACGACGTTGCTTAGGAAGTGCAGAGTCAACCTACTTGATGCGGTTTCTTATGGATTATCATTTTTCTTTCGATATTTATAGTTTTTCAAAATGAATCGATAATCGATAAATAATGTCCTAGTCGGCAGTAGCATTGCTGACAGGATCAGTTCTAATTCTTTAAGACTATAGAAAAACCGTCGGCTACGTTCTTGAAAGGAATCTTCTGTGACTACGCGCCGCTGGTTGGTTATAATTACGAGAAAGAGGCTTCAAAACAGTCTGCGATAATAGCCTGGGAATGGAAAATCAATCTTTAATAACGAAAATCTAATTTCATCCTTTTAATTTCCTATCGGACTGAGTTGGAATTTCTCATCTGGTAAATTATCGAAGAAAAAGTGTTAGTGATAAGATCGGGAACTATTTAAGGACAACAGAACCTTTATTATTCCAGCAGTAATTCGTATACTTTGGAGTCTACTTTTTATATATTTTTATTCAAATAAGGAACCTGTACCAAATCAGGCCACGTTAACGTTTGGATAGCAGGAACTTCATAAATATTTGCGATACGATCATGAAATTTTAAAGGTATTATTCTAGGTATGTTCAGTGAATAAGCTATATCGGAGAGCTCCGAGAACTTTTCTTTTCATATAAAAAATATATATTTTTTGAAACGCTACGGTTGGCCTTATCAGGAACCCAGTGATCCAAATAAGGCCATGATCTGGTTTTTAATAAAGCAACGCTCAAAATATAGATCAGGACAGTTGAATAAGCGAAGTTATGTTAATTAATAAATAATTCTTAAATCCAGTTAGATTTCAAGTAAAAAAATCAACTTGTTTTTGCATTCGCATCGATGACAAACAAATGATATCTTCTCGCCTCTACACAAGCCTACACATTCCTTATATACAGGGTGCGGCAGAGAGGACGGACGTTCTTGGGATGGGTAGTACTCTCCTCCTCCGTATACGAGACAGGTGGGGAGGGTGCCGTTTGACTCATGAGATCCTAGCATTATTTTACCACTTGTCTTTATGAAGCCTTGGACGGTGGAGCAGCGCGTTTTCGCCTATGATTGTTTCGTCCGAAATAATGAGTCAGTCATCGTCGTACAGCGTGAGTTTCGTCGCCACTTCAACATTCATCGGAATAGAGCTGTTCCCTCTGGAAACACCATCCTTTGTTGGGTTGAATCACTTCGCAGGCGTGGTGAACTGATCAACAGAAGACCAAGAGGAGCGCCGCGAACTGTTCGAACTCCTGAAAATGTTGAACGGGTTCGACAGGTCTTTCTTCGCAGTGCGACTCGATTTGCCCGGACACATGCTGCTGCACTTCGCCTTAGTGATCGTTCGGTAAGGCGAATTTTGCATATGGATCTCCGTTTTCACTCCTACAAATTGGCCATTGTGCAACAGTTTCAGCCCGGAGATTATGCACAACGAATGAACTTCGCACGTGAGATGGAAGCACCGATCGATCAAAATGAGAACCTCATTTTGTTTATGAGTGACGAAGCCCACTTTCACCTAAACAGCATTGTTAACCAGCAGAATTGTCGTTATTGGGCTAATGAAAAGTTGAGAGAGCGATGTTGAAGAGAGTCTACGCGAACTTCCAAGAACGCCTCCAGCACTGCATCAGCTGTATTGGCCACCACATGCCTGATGTGATTTTCCACACTTGATTGTCTCAAATGCTATTTCCTTGTGAACTTGATTCCATCAATAAATTTGTTTTCGAGTAAAAATTAACTATTTTATGATTTTTTTAAAACCATCCATCCTCTCTGCCGCACCCTGTATATTACACACAGACGCATGTCACGTGTTTCATCATTATCGCATATGAAACAGCCCCACTTTTCATCTTTATTCTTCTGGGAACCATATAACATGGCCTTATTACGCACATCTAACCTTAAATATTCAATTTACAAAATTGAAGACATTCAAAACCTGACAACAGCAAATAACTACCTGCATATGCCTTATAGACTACCTGTTTGTATTAACAAGAGATTCCGCAAAAAGAACCCGACAACATGCAAAAACGGAGACAAAGTTAAAGCAGAAATATTATAAAGCGCATGTTGAAAACCGACGCTGTGCTACTGCGCTATCTAGAGCCGCTCTACAGTTGCTGAATTTATGGCTGTTAACTACTCTCAATGAAATTGGAGAACTGCAGAAATCTTTAATTTTAAATGTTAATAGTTAAACCGACGCATGGCCTTATTAGACGCATGGCCTTATTTGCTACAGGTACCTTAATTATTTATTAATAAATTAATCTATACAATGATTGAATGACGAGGAAGTTGTTCCAAATATAGAGATTTGTTGAATATGAATACCAACATTTTATTAACAAATGTTCACATTTTAACTTCTGTGACGTTCTGTATAGTAAGTGTATAGACCAAAATGATGCAAAAAGAGTACAAAAGGTTCAAAACTCGTGTTAACGACTCATCCATGGAATTCGACGTAGAGAAGGCATTTCACATAAGTTAGTAGAAACAATCTGGCTAAATATGAAAGATCGACGAGAGCTGCATAGCGCATGCTTCTATCATTAGGTTGTAACTATGAAAACTCCTTCGAGTTTATATAATAAAATAACCCTTCGCCAAGATGCACACAATGTAAACATAAGGTCTAAAACCACGATCACACCACCAGCTCAGCATACTGCTCTATTTGAAAGATCTTTTTCTTATAACATTTCCAAAATATATAAGGATGTCCCTCAATACTTGAAATCCAAATCGCTATATAATTTTTCAAAATGCTACTTCCATTTTCTGAGATCTCGCTACAATAATTAATAACATCGAATATCTAAATGTTTTTTGTTTCTATGCACATACCTATATTACATATATATGATTATACCTACCTTACATTGTACGCTTTTCCCTAATTTCTTTATGTCTGTGTTTGTATTCTGTGATTTTTTCATTTCTTCTATATACAGGGTTATCCAAATTAAGTGTCCACCATTAGTAACTTTGTTATTAGTGAAAATACAAAGTTGTTTGAATTAGCAAACTAGTAGCATTTTTAACGCTGGTAAAAATGAGAAATAAAAAAAACAATTGAGAGTCGTTATTTTGATTTTTTTCAGTAAAATAACATTTTTTTAAATGGAAACCCCTGTATATTATATTTTTTTCTGTTAAAGCATCAAATTTTAAACAAAAAAGTTCATAATGACTTTTCCGCTAAAGTCAAAAATAAAGTCAAAATAACGATAAATATTTTTAATTATTTGCAGTATTATAATATTAAGACGGCTATGAAAACAACATGGCGTTCGCGATTTGACAGCATTAAGATAAGCGACAAATTGTTAAACTGGACATACTCGCAACTAGAAGGCTTTGGAAAACAATGATAAAATCAAATAATGTCAAACATTAGTGTAAATACTTGTTTATAAGCTTTATTGTGTCATTAATTTAAAGAAAAATGTTCTCCCATGAAGAAAAGTGTGATATGTTAGAATGCTATTTAGTGTGCAGAAAATCCTCCTTGAGAGCAAGAGAATACTACAGTGAATTAACGTATATCCCGCTTCTTTAAAAAAAATTGTTATTGTATTTTGTAAGATTATAAGTTGATGTTGAAAATAATGTTTGTCGATACAATTTAATTGTTTCAGATTGGAGGCCATAACTTCAACAATTTGTAACCTAGGAGAAAACTTATTGTGAGCTTTTTTGTTTAAAATTTGATGCTTTAACAGAAAAAAATATAATATACAAGGGTTTCCATTTAAAAAAATGTTATTTTACTGAAAAAAATAACGACTCTCAATTGTTTTTTTTTATTTCTCATTTTTACCAGCGTTAAAAATGCTACTAGTTTGCTAATTCAAACAACTTTGTATTTTCACTAATAACAAAGTTACTAATGGTGGACACTTAATTTGGATAACCCTGTATATTAGTTATTCATGCTTTCAAAAAGGCTATTGTTTGAATATAGTAATATATACTACTCGTATATCTTTACTTTTAAGCTTTTTAGTTAGTTAAGTAGGTTTTGTTAGGTTAAGTGGAAGACCAGCCATTCCTCTATAGGAATGAAAGCTGAACTTTTCCAAGCATCACTTCCATATCTCTGCACCTTGGTACCAACGCCTAAAGATGATTATTATTATTATTATTATTATTATTATTATTATTATTAAATAAGGACAAATCTCATATTTGAAACAATGCCGCTTCATTTCTCGGAAGATCGTTACGTGGCAGCCAGGCTCATTTTTGTAAGATTTTGATATGTGTATGAGCCTTTATTAATTTGCCGCTAAACCACCCATAAAAGATTTCTGTGCTTTATTGCACTTTTACAAATTAAATTATTCACTTACATGTCATTTTGACAGAACAGCCCATGTAAACTTGTAATTTCAAGGTAACGTTTCTTTCTTTCTGTGATATGTGGAACATAATACAATTTGACCATATTTACAAAAGCTTGTACTAGTAACTTGTAATTTACCAGTCTGATGTTTTTCTCGCATAGGACCCTGGGCTGGTGTCAGCATCTATACTTGTTGCTTCTTAAAGTAGGGTCGGTAGAAATTAGATAAGATGTGTTAAGGCCAACCGCTACCGGTATAGGTGTAAAAATCATAGAATCTTCCGTAAATTTTGTAAATTCTCATAATAAACACGAGCAGCGGCAACACTGCGGTGAGCGATCTGTACTTCAGTTTATTAGTATTAGTATTAGTATTAGTAAAAGAAACACATGTATGTCTGTGCATAATTTCATTCAAGTTGGCCTACATTGCTAACGACTAGATAGCTCACTTTTTATTCAAAAATTATCAGAGTAGCTCAACACACTGAAAAGGTTGGAGACCACTGTGTTAGGGTGTAAAACTAAAATGATAAAAATTGCAGTGAGCAATTCGCCCACCTCAAACAAGGCTATAAGCTGCTACCTAGCTCACGACTCAATAAACACTGTCCCAGTTTTTCTTTTCTAATGAAGTATCTCGAGACGTACTTGTTATTTTATCATTCTCTGTCTTTACTTTGTTCAATGTAGTTTGAAGAGAGTACTTAGACAGAAGTAGATATATAAGAGAAAATAAGTTTCCGTTGTGAATTTTAGGAAATAAAATTCCAAAAGATTAAATTAGTTTGTCGTGAAACTTATGTAATTCCGAATCACATATTCTCCTATCCATAAATTAATAGCGGCTATTATCGATCAGTTACTACAGGTCATTCCATTATTTAATTAACAGACGCTGAAAGCACTTATCGAACTTCTATTTGCACACT